ACTGAGAGTCACATTTTGGGTTGATACGAAGACTATTACACACAGAATTCAGAGAAATGTTGCTGAAGACCCACTTAATGTGAATATTAAAGTCAGTTCACTTCTAGAAATTGTTTTAAAAAAAAAAAAATATATATATATATATATACACACAATAATAATGATAATAACACATTTTTTTAGATAAAATATCTAAATAATTCCACTGAAACAAAACGAATAAATAACAATAATAATAATAGTAGTAGTAGTAGTAGTAGTATAGTGGGCTGTTTGAGCTAAATTCAGTTCCATTCATTGTTCAATTGAGATAATAATAATGCTAAATTAAATTCAGATAAAATAGCTAAATAATTACATTGAAACGTAACTAATAACTAAAATAAATTACTATTACTACTACTAATAATAATAGTAAGCAGTTTGATCTAAAATTTGTTCCATTCATTGTTCCATTGAAATAATAATAATGGTACATTAAATCCAGATAAAATAGCAGAATTATTACATTGAAACAAAACTAATAACTAAAATAAACAACAACAACAATAATAATAATAGCAGCTAAATAATAATAGCTACATTCAGCTGAATTTCCAACTTCCATGAAAATAATAAGGCTAAATTCAACTTTTAAATAGCTATATGATTCACTGAAAAAAAAATTATTAACTAACTTACTAACCTGAACAAAATTATAAACGCACCACTTTTGTTTTTGCCCCCATTTTTCATGAGCTGAACTCATAGTATAGTGGGCTGTTTGAGCTAAATTCAGTTCCATTCATTGTTCCATTGAGATAATAATAATGCTAAATTAAATTCAGATAAAATAGCTAAATAATTACATTGAAACATAACTAATAACTAAAATAAATTACTATTACTACTACTAATAATAATAGTAAGCAGTTTGATCTAAAAAACTAAATAATATTGATGATAATAATAATAACAATTTAGCTAAATTCAACGGAACTAAAATATTTTAGATTAAATAAAAACTCTAAAACTAAAATATAATAATTATTACAATAAGTAAATAAACAAACAAATACATTTTGTCAAAAAAGTTTGAAAAAATTAGATCACAATGTTACTTGCATTTGGCACTTGGCATGTACTTTTGTACCCTGCACACAATTAGCCTGCTGATAAAAGAAAAAAGCTACGGCAATAAACTGTTCCCAAAAGAGAGTACATGTATGCATTATGCTGCATTCTCGCACAACACCGACACAGAAGCTCCTGGATGCACAGGTTCCCAGGCTCCCATCATTAATCTGGCTCAGGACTGCTGGAGGGCAGAGGGAAGACTATAGGGAGAGCAGAGAACAACATGCTGGCTGTGTTCACACACTCATCTCCGGAGGGAGCCACAGCATTGTGTTTCATACGCTTTGCTCTGATTCTCCCTCGGTGACCACCGCCAAACGCTACATAGCCTCTGGGTTTTCAGATTCACCAGCTATTCAATAAGGATTAACTGCTTGTGATTTGCTCACCCCTCAGGGCTTGAGAAGGTGGCGGAATCCTTAATAAGACTCTCGATAGCTATTTTAGTGTTGCGTCACTTTTTCAAGAAAGAAGTGTTGGAAATGCTGAATGATGATACATTCAGACATTAATATCCCTCTAACTGCGCATGTGCAGCCGCATGTTACTGATGTTGCTCCTACGCAGACAGCAATGTGCAGAAGACAGACAAACAAAACCAGCAACAACGTCTCGAATCCGAGTTAAAACGTCTAGCTGCATTTACACTGATTTTCAGTATGGAATTAAGGATGTGAGAAATCTTGTGAATGGAAAATTCACAGTGCTAATTAATGCACAAGCGGCGAGAAAAGGACAACAGTGCCGCGTCTGTAGTGGCACCAAATGTCAAAAATAATGACTATTATTATACACATACAGAAGCATGCTATTTTATATTATAATTATTTTCATGCCTTGCTTTCTAAAGGTCCTGACAAATAAGATATACATCAAAAAGACAAAACAGGTTATCTTGAAAAATCAAGACATAAAAATAACAGTAAGTCATTGTTCTTAATGGGTTTTGCTATCAAATTTGTTTATTTTATAAAAGTCATAGAAATAATTTATTAATATTACCACTAACAACATATGCTAAATAAATTAAATAGGCAGAATAGGAAAATTCAATAGATTGAATAAGAAAATGCACAAACATCAGAAGAGTGATGTAGCCTGAACCTGTATTTAACGTCTTGTATAAAAAATAAAAAAATAAAAAAAATAAAATGTATTAATATATTTAAACTATTTTTTAAATAATAAATACATTTTCAAATCATAAATATTTATTTGTTTTATTATTATTATTATAAAAGATACCTAGCAAATATGCTATATTATATGGTTTATTTTATAAAAGTCATAGAAATAATTTATTAATATTACCACTAACAACAAAAGTATATGCTAAATAAATTAAATCAAATATGTTTTACTCAGCAAGAACAAAAATGAAATTGAATATTGCATACAGGTAGAACATTAATCGTATTAGACGTCAGTCATATGGTTTCTTTAACTTTCCAAGGTATCAAGTTCAGAGTCAGTTTTGGCCTCATCTCTGGATACAGCTGTACTAGTTGAATCCCATGAGAGCCAATAGTTTGCCAGCAACTTTAAATTTATGCTCTGTCCACATCATCCATAATTTAAGGGGCTGATTGCTGCTCCCTGTGAATGGTTTCCATATCTCTGCAACCGTCTGAGATTCATTTATGTATGGAGCAGCGAGAGAAAGAGAGCAGCGCTGCCTGAGGGGGGAGAGCAACCATATGAACCTGTTAACATGAGCGGAAAGTGTCTTTCCACCCCATCAGAGCGAGAGACGGAAAATGACATATACGAGATGAAAGGTGTTTTTGAGGAGGTGTATGTCAGCAACACTGGGATGAATTAATCATCTCTACATTAATTAAAAATGATGACATTCAAATTATATTCATATTTACATTTGCATTTCCAAAAGGAAATAGTGCTTGCATATTCACTGTTGTTATCATTATTACAAACAAACAAAAATATTTGTAATTTAAATTAAATTGAAGTAAAATACCAAAATTATTCTATTGAAAAAAACTAAATATATTAATATAAATTTTTATTATCATTACTGTATTCAATTTAATGTTCAATTTAAATTCAGTTTAACTGAAATTGCTAAATGAAAATTGCTATTTATAATAATAATAATAAAATTAATTTGAGCTAAAATAGCTAAATTATTATTTGAAACAAAATTAACAAATTATTTCAATTTTTTAACCAAACATTTATTACAAAAAATAAACATTTTTAATATTTGTGTGTGTATATGGATTAAAAATGACCAGCCAACTGGTGATTTCACAGTTTTACTTGCTTTTGCCACAAGGTAGCATATTAATTGTATATACATTGAAAAATAAAATAAAATAAAATAAAATAAAATAAATAAATAAATAAATACATAAATATATATATATATATATATATATTTTCCTAAAGCATGCCTAAAAATGAAATTATCTACAAAGCTAAATTTGCAGAAAATTGTGGTGAAGAAATCTTACTCCTTACATACTTACATTTGTTTGTAGATAATTAAACCTTGAGAATCAGTTAGCAAACTGTTATTTCAGCAATTATTTTCACTGCTTTGCATATACACGGGTAAGCGTGGGAGTAATGCTTATATGTGTTATTCATAAATGAATAGGAAGCATTTCTCTGAATTAAACATTCAAATGTGTGATGTGCCTGCTTGGCATTCTCAGAGCAAGCGATGAATGTGATTAGTTTTGACCAGGAGGCCTCAGTGTCAGGAGAGCTGACTGCAATTCAAACACATTACTGGCGAGTTATCCAAATGGCCATGTGTATCCCAGCGCTCATTAGGACTCATTTTCCACTTAGTAAAATAATGCATTCTTCCATATTAGCCCCGGCACTGTACCACCAGCTGGCCTAATAAAAGACACGTATCCCACTGCAGATTATTCCAAATAATTACTCGAGTAAGTACATATCTGCGGGTCCAAAGAGAATGGAAAACTCAATTAAACCTACATTAGACCTGCTGGGACTCATCAGAACCCCCAGGATGCAATGGGACCAACACTGTTGGTGTTGTAGCTAATGTGAGAGAACAGGTGGTGTAACCATGGTGACTGTGAGGAACCCATACCAGGTTAAAAAAGCCCGTATTGTGCGTCATTGTGATATTAAAGGGACAAATTCTGTCATTATTTACTCACTGTCTTGCCATTATGTTGTCAAAAAGACAACAAAAAGCCCCATAAAAGAAAAATTTTGTCCTGAACAGGCTTCTCAATACAATAAAAGTAAATGGGTATGAGGATTGTTAAGCTCCAAAAAGGACAACAAATAGGTCTTAAAAGAACCATAAAAGTGATTGCACAACTTAAAATAATACGTTTTCTTAAGTCATAAGATCTGAAATCTCATTTGCATTTGCAAACATTCAAATCATCATTATGTGCTTTATTTGAATATATCCAGGTGCCAGTGAGATTGGAGTGCTATGATGAATTTCGTCATTTTTGCAGCTCAAATTTTATTGCAAAAGAGTAGCAAAAACATTTTGCTAAAGCTCTTTTTTACTGTTTTCTGGAAGAAAAAATGGAATGGCATGAGTATGAGTAATTGATGCTAAAATATCAATTTTTGAATGAAGTATTCTTTTAAAGTTATCATGACAATGTTTTCCTTGAGCTAGAGGCTGCTGGGATCATTTCTATGCCAAATTATTAACTAGAAACCAACTCTGACTCCTGCTTGTCACTGACCATTTGTCATTTTGTTTGCAATTAGAAACCGAAATGCCTGCTGGATATATATATATATAATTTTAAACATAATTTACAGAAGTAAATTTTGGTTTCACGTTGTTATGCTGAAGCATGTAGCTCCAATCAAATTTTTGCCTAGAGGGTACTAAGACTTATTTACTGTGATAAAGCTTATTCAAAACCTGAAAGGTAGAAACACTAATTGCATTTCGTAAAAAGTTCTAAAACATTTTTAAAACCAGTCACACTCAAATTTACCTTGGGTGCTGAAGGTGGCGTCCATGGCGGAGCCGTCCCAGGATTCCACTGCGCTGTCCACGCTGGGAATGGTGGTGGAATAGATGTCTGAGAGTTTACCGGGTTTCTGCCCAGCCTGACCGTCATCCTCCATATCGCTCAGATCGTTCAAACGCCCTGTTACTGAGGGCTGCTTCGGGCTTGCCACTATAGAAAGAAGGAATAAAGACAACAATTGACTCGGCCCACGGATCACAGTCAATAGACCAGAGAGATCCAGACTTTACTGAATATTGGGCCCACAAATCAGTGCTCAATTGATCTTTTATTCTTTGATAAGGAACTTTACCTCTTCTACTGTCAGTCTACAGTATATGATAGATGGAGACAAAACTAATCAGACCTTAGGCTTTAATGACTCATGGCTAGGCAGCTTTATTGCTTTTTAGAGCTACCAAGATGTACAGTTATGTGGGAGTTAATGGGTGAGAGAAAGAGCGACAGAGACAATAAGAGTGAAAGAATGTGCCAATCAAAAGTTTGGGAAATATAATAAGACAATAATGGTTTAAAAAAGTAGTAAATAATTCAAATTTTAAAAGAACACAAAAACAAGTATGAGAATAAAGTAACCAAAAAAGGTAAACAATTAAAACAAACCCTTCACTATACACCCCAAAACATCAATCAATCAAATAAATAAATACATTTTATACAAATAATAAAATAGTTATTTTGTAAGGAGATTCATAGATAGGCACTATTTATATATTTGTATAAAGAATTAGCACAAGCCTTTAGCTTGTAAGGTTTTTTATGAGAAGCGAGTTCAGCCCTTTGACTGGTAGTGTACAAATAAAGAGCCATTTGGCTGTAAGTGTGCGTGTCAGCACTCACATTCTCCCTGCTTCTTGATCTTCAGTGTGACGGACTCCCCTGCCATCTGCAGCAGGTGGATGGCCTCACTGAGAGGTTTGCCCTTCAGACTGTTGCTGTTAATGGCCAGGATGCGATCACCAATGTGGATGGCACCAGTCCTGTGGAGACAAGAGCACACCAAATAACTCTTAAAGGGCAACTGCAATGCATAATTTCAAAAGCTTTCTTTTCTCCCGTTTCCTTTTTTGTAGTTGAAAAATAAGATTTAATTGAAATTAACTAGGGCTTTTCATAGATTAAAATACTTAACTGCAATTAATCTCTCATGTTGCCTGCAGGTAACACATTAACATATTCAGTAATTCTTGAGTAAATAAAGAAAAATGAATGAATAAATAAATATAAAATACAATAAAAATATATATACATTAACAATTAGGAATTTTTTACTACAATTCTATATTTTAGAATATATATTTGATTTAAGATATCACTTGAATTCTACCTCTATACCCTCTCTCTCTTTCTTTATATAGATGATATATATATATATATATATATATATATATATAGATAGATATATATATATTTTCTGTATATATTTATAAAAAGATACAAAAGATACATCGTAAATGTGATATTTCTTAACTTTTGACAGGCTTGAAGATTTGAACAGAGCCGTACCTCTCGGCCAGGCCACCTTTAGTGAGGCTAGAGATGATGATGGGGTCGAAGGGCTCCTCGGTGCCCGAGATAGTGATGCCCAGCGGCCCGCCGAAGCGTTTCAGCTCCACAGTGTAAATGATGGCGCCAGAGCTCTCCTGCTCGTCTGCAACACAGGCCAACAGCACACGGGCGTCCCTATCAACACTGCCATCACGTAGGATACCTCACAGAGGGGCAGAGAGCAGAGCGAAGACACCCCTCACAACACCGGACAGAGAGAGGAGGTAAGGAGGGGAGGGAGGATGGAGGAGGATTGACCCAAAATAAGAGATACATGGAGAGAAAACATGAAAGAAAAGGAACCGAAAGGAAAACAAGTAGTAATGGGATAAAAATACTAGAGATGTCAATTTAATCCACCATTGACCATTTGCTAAGTCCCTTAAAAAAAAAAAAAAGTTATTTAGCAACTACTTTAGCATGCCATCTGCCATGTTTTTTTTCTATTTTTAATTTAAAAAATAGATTTTCTAGTGTATATCTGTGGAAGAACTGTTTCTTTAGGATAATTTATATATAGGTGTATAATTGCAATATAAATGATTTAAATTACTGAAGATAATTTATTAAATAAATTATAGATTTATTATAATACATTCTAATTGTGTTATATTTAATTAATATTGCAATTTCATATATATACACACACAAAAATGCAATATTAATTAGGTTTGAATCAGAAATATATATATTTGCTGAAGATAATTTATATACAAATTTATACATATATTATTATTATTATTAAAAATTATGTTGTTATAAATATAGAATTTTCAGATTGCATATATTTACTTTGATTAATCAGCATGTTATGTAATTTGATTAAAATTGCTAATTGATTGACAACCCTAAAAAACATAACTAAAAATGAAAGAGAGAAACAACTGATTATGCTTACAAAAAGCAATAATCTAGAGAGTAGTGGTGGAAAGAATGGGAAAGGAAGTATAGGCAATTGGAGAAAAGAATGATGGAAGATAATAGAAGTGGTGCATCCAGAAAAAAAAGCAAAAAATGAGAAACTGAAAATATAAGGGATTGCCAAAATGGAGATATTCACATGCATAATACAAAAAATGGGATATTGGCTCTGTGATCCATTTCAAAAATGGATACTGCACCTACCTCTACAAATCATACACGTTATCATCCAAAGCAGAACAAAACCTCCATATCCTGGGCCCACAATGCATTTCAAAAAACTAAATGTCAGATGTCAGACATTTAATTTTGCCCAAAGTGACTTAGTGCATTCAAGCTGTATATTATATCAGTATGTGTGTCCTTGGGGGATTCTCGTGCCAGCTGAGCTACAAGAATCATAATGTAAATTAATTATAAGACTGAACTCATTTTGCATGAGCTCAGCAAACAGACGTGACTACAGCAACAGCAAAATCCACTTTAAAGTGTTCTATAAAATATTAGTTGCGCTGATTCATAACGCTCAACATCAATTAAGAGGTCAACCTGCTCGTTTTGACATGGCTTGCACCGAGAAGGAAATGCGCTAAAGAGAAAGAGAAAAATAGAGGAAAACGCACAGATCCTCAGGGCAATCGTTGTCATCTCCCGCCCCCATCCACATACTAATGAAGCGCTGATATGCGTCAGATCACAGCAGCTCTGGCTGTATACGTTTGTGTGTGTGTGTGTTAATCTGTATATGCTGGTGGGTCTGGGGATGTTCGTTAACATGAGGTCGGCTCATTACGCCTTTGTTTTTTTTGACGATGGACTAATGGAGAGATGGGAGGGAAATTACCCACATTTAGCACGCCAGTCAGCACGGCCTCTCTCAGACTGATGATTTGTTGTCACAGCTCTAAAAAAGGCCTTGTAAAAAATGAATGTCGACCTTAATGTTCCCAGCGAGAAAGATCTAAACGAGCCTCTGGCTTTGGACGTGAGGAACTGAAACACACAAGGTGCCATTTCATGGACACAATAGATGTCCTGGATGAAATATGAATGCCAAATAAAAGTGATTCGCAGTTCTGCTTTGTAGTGCGAGCATAACGCCTCTGTAGCAAAGGATTGTGGGTGAATGCTTTGGAGAAAGATGGATGAGGGCTCCAAGGGTTTCTAATCGGATAATTGAACCAAACGAGCATTAAATTGGAGCGATTAAACCTCATTTTCTTCTATGTGCACAATGCTAATAGTGTTAAGGATGAATTGTGAGGTTGCGGGACCAAGGGGAGATGTGTATGTCGTTGTAGCCCGCCAGAAGAAGTGAAAGGTTTACCAGAAGGTCTTTTGGAGATAATAAAGATCTCACTGTGACATTTCCAGCAGCTGAGCCACTTCAACCCCTCCCAGTCTCAACAACTTGAAATAGAGGCTAGTTGTGTTTAAGAAAGTCAGTTGGGTTTAGAATGACATAAGGTTGACTTTTTAATGAACTATCTCTGTAAAAAGAAGGATGTCAGGAAGGAACATCATACTTTAATCTGTTAAAAAAAATCATCAAGCAGTAGCTATGCACTAAGGCTGGGCGATATTATCAGATTGGTTGAATATATTCATGATTTTGTAGGTGATATAAAGCTATGATTAATTTATTCTGTGAACGAACGTGTGCAATAACAGGCTTGACCCATAAATGAGTAGAATTAGCTAGCAATGTGATCTCAATATCTCGGCTCCTTGTTAAATCAAACTTTTATGTTCAATTTTGACTGTCAGTCATCTTTCTAAAGTACTATTCATTTATTAATGTGTGAAACCCTAACCTTTAAGCAACACTGTGTATATCATGATGTTTTTAATGTGCTTTTAACTCTCCATTAAGTTCTCTAAAGAGCGTGTCATTAAACTAATTTCCCAATCTATCCTTGTCTCATGATTTGCAAATATCAGATTGAAAAGACTGATCGTCTGTCTATCCTATCTCAGATTTAGACTGAGGAAGAGCTGGTAAGATCATTTCATTTCCGTGAATCATTTCAAGTTGTCCGTTTCAATTAACCAATTCATTACTTTGATTTAACAGTTCACTCAGGACAATTAATCAAAAATGTTCATGAAAGTCCCTTTTTCTCCCATATATATATATATATATATATATATATATGTTATAAATTACACACCCACATATATATTTAAATATTATTTATAAAATGTACATATATAATGTAAATAAGATTATTTTATTATATGGTTATTATATTAATACATAATATATTATTAACATAAATATATATACATTTATATTCTCATGTAAGGTGAAAAATATCAAAATATAATTGTTTTCTCTACATTGCCCAGCTCCACTTTATGCATCTTTTTTCTGTCCTTAAGGGATTCATAGCTAATAATGCTGCCATGTTTTTTTCTCATCTCGTCCTTTTTCTGTCCTTGCCGTATCTTTGAAACCAGATTACATTAGAGTAAGCTAATCAGTCAGGTCCTAATAGCTTATTCTTTATCTTGATCCTGGCAAACAAACGTTTGCATTAGACGTCTTTGCTGAGGTCTTCTATCCTGGCATGGGGGCTTTTAGTGCTAATCCATGTGGGGTTTGTAGTTGCAGAGGCTCAGAGGTACCTGAGTTGTCCTCGTCCTTGCGGATCTTGAGTTTAACCAGGTCTTCGCACTGCTGCAGGATTTGAACGGCGTCCTCCATGGAACAGTTGTCCAGACGGATGTTGTCTATTGCCAAAAGCTTATCCCCCAGCTCCAGGGTGCCCGTCCTTTGAAATAGGACAAGAAGAAAAAAAAAACAGTTACAAGCATAAATGTTTCTGATTTTTTAAACTAACATTGCCTCAACCATGCAACACATCTCCATTTCGTCTTGTGATATTTTGAAGGAAAGGTTATTTTCTCCCTTACGCAGATATTTACACTCATTTCGTTGTAGTCTGAGCTCACATTCTGCAAGAAAACACATCCATTATTCAGTGTATTGACCACGGTACAGAGTAAAGAGCAGCCAGAGGCACTGAGGTAGATCTGAAGCGAGAAAAAAAACAAAAAACCAACAACTGACTTTTATCGTATTGGCCATAATTGTGTGCCGTTCTATATTCAGATTAGACACCGAGATCTAATCCTGCCTGAATTCACAATTATTCCACCACTTCATCATATTAAATGGCTCACTTATTTTTAGGCTCTTTTAATAGAGCTGAAAGAGAGGAGAGCAAGATGTGAAAGACTGCGAGTGCCAAGGCCATCTTACATAGGCATCTAAATACAGAGACGGACAGACCCGTATTTAACCACTCCACTTTTTACACAGAGGTTCATAACCCAATTCTCTTTCCTCCTCGCATAATTATCAAGTAAACATATGTTCTATTATGTAAAAGCATGGGAAATTAGAGTATGTGTGCTGAAAGAAAGTAATTATACCGGTATAAAGCCTCCCCCAACAACCCTAACTATTACCATGGAGAATTTGTTTCTTTTTTCAGCTTTGTTAGAAATTAAAGTTGAGCTTGAGAAAGGAACGTATATTTCTGTTTTTAACAAAGAAATTATTATTATTTTTGAATCAAGGATCAATTAAATTGGTCAAAAGTGAAAGTAAATAAATGCTTAATGCTTAAAGTAAATAAATTATTTTGAACTTTCTATTTATTAAATAATCCTGAAAAAATGTATAAAGGTTTCTACAAAAATATTAATTGTTTTCAACATTGATAATAAGAAGAAATGTTTCTTGAGCACTAAATCAGCATGTTAGATGATTTCTGAAGGACCATGTGACACTGAAGACTGGAGTAATGAAAATTCAGAAAATTTTAATTCAGAAAAATGTTAAAAGATATTAAAATAGAAAACAGTTATTTTAAATTGTAATAATATTTCACAATATTACAATTCTTACTGTTTTTTTTTATCAAATAGATGCATACTTACATAAGAGATCTCTTTCAAATAAATTAAAAATCTTACCAACCTGAAACTTGTATACAGTACTGTACCTCGAGCTACGAGTGAAAAAAATTGTAAGCTATTCAGTACAGCTAGATTATATTTTACTGCAAACAGCACCGTATAGACCTCACAATCAACAACAATGCAGTCAAACAGCACTCGACACCTTTCCTCAGGGCATCTGCTGAGATTTATGTCAATATGGAGGGTTACACGTTCTCCCAGCCGCACTCAATCAGAAGCTCTCCTCTATAGCCTGGAGAAAATTAGCATTTATATGCACAAGTAAGCTTTCGCAGGTCGATGCAGATAGCATATGCTCATAGTCTTGCTCAATTCTGTGCGCAGATGTCATTACATTCGCCATTTGGGTCTAGTCGATGCTATTTAAGGCACGGGTGAAGTGCTGATTTGGATGAGAGTGTGCCAAGCTGAAGTTTCAGCAGCCATTATTCCAGTCTTCAGTGTCCCATGATCCTTCAGAAATCATTCTGATATGCTGATTTGGTGCTTATTATTATAAATGTTGCAAGTTGTGCTGTTTTTTTGTGGATTTTTCCCCCCCTCAAATTTATCTTTTATGAATAGAAAGTTCAAAAGAACAGCTTTTATTTGAAATATAAATATTCTGTAACATATTAAATGTCTTTTGATCAATTTAATGCATCCTTCACTCTTAAAAATAAAGGTGCTTAAAAGTTTCTTCACAGTGATGCCATAGAAGAACCATTTTTAGTTCCACAAAGAACCATTCAGTCAGAACCACCTCTTTCTTACCTTTTTATAATCTGAAGAACCTTCTTTCTCCACAAAGAACCTTTTGTGAAACAGAAAGGTTCTTCAGATATTAAAGGTTCTTTATGGAACCATTTAGACATAAAGGTTCTTCTATGGCATCATGAAACGCCTTTATTTTTAAGAGTGTTGGTAAATAAAAGTATTACTTTCTTAAAAAAAAAAACCTTACTGTCCCCAACTTTCGAAGCATATAATATATACCATACAAAATACAAAAATAAGTAATGTTAGGCAACTCAAAGCAAGCACAATCAAGCTTTTCAAAACTTTTCAACTGTCTTTTTTTGTATTTTATTTTTTTTAAGTTATGCTGAGTCAAAATGTTCGGAGGATGTTATTTTTTTTTTAGAGCGTGTTATATTGAGTGAAACATCGTGCACTTGGGTAGAAAATGTAATCCATCTATTATGTATTTTTCTTTAATATAGCAAAGCGTGAGATGCAGGTGGGTGTAGGTGCGCTGGAGGCTGTATACTGCACAAGTTATTATGCAGGAGATTAGTGTTTCTATAGAATTTACATTTTTTACAATTTACATCTATACAATTACATTTTAAAGGAGATATGGTGCAAGACAATGATTTAAGGCGGTACCTGTGCGCCACGCTGCCTTTCTTTATGTCAGAGATGATGAGTGCATCTCCGGGCTTCCTACTGGAAGGAGCTGTGAAGAGAGAAGAAAACAATCAAACTTGTTTAATGGCAAAACCTCAGTCATTTTATGTAGCCAACACTGCTGATTATCTAACTCTGAGTCATTCTTAGTTAACAGCTTAGAAGTTTTTTTAAAGGTACAATACTTTTAAAGGTTCAGCCTTGATGACAAAAGTGTTTAAAATTGGAAAGAGAAAATCTGATGACACAGCAAGAGCTTTTTGTCGACTTGTAGTGCCTCTCCGCTCCAGAACTAGTTGCTTTTGGTAGCGTGAACAAGTGCTTGTCAGTCCAGTCAGAACTGATGGTTTTGTTGTCTATTTGACATTTTTCCAGCTTGGAGAATGACATGACACTGTAAAAGATGCCACTCTGAATGACTGACAATGGAGATGCACATTTTCCACAGTGCCAGGTGGACGACAGTAATACAGCAAATAATAGAATATATATAAAAATGACAGTCTTTAACCATAAAGAAAGAGCTCTGCAGAAAAACAAATTTTTTTGTTTGTCTTAGTGGGTTTAAAAATCCTTTAAAACCAGCCAACAGACCAGCCTGACAAGCTAAGACCAGCAAATAAGCTTAGGCTTTGGATTAAGCTGTTCTTTTTCCCACTAGGGGAGTCCAGGATAGTTGTTTTTAACCATTTTGACTCCCCCATCATCCAATGAAATATTCAAAGTTCCCCCATATACAGTACTGTAAGCTTTTTTCTCTAGGATATCTGCAGTAATTATGACAAACCTGCTTATTTCTAAACTTTATATTAATAGAACCTCTGAGTGTTCGATATAAATTGTGTATATATAGTGTTTGATGACCATTATTTAACTATTTTATGAATCCAGATGTAGTTATGTTTTATACATAATAGTAAATAATTGCTGTATATTACTATAATGTCACGATCTCCAGCTGGAGTGCCCATGTGCTCCTCTAGAGGGCAATCCATCCCATAGCTTTGCCACTCAATCCCGGACTCCATTTCCCATAACCCCCTGCCTAGGATCTGTGTCATGTTTTTGCTGTTAGCGGACAATTCTAAGTGCATCTTTGTTTCCCTGTTTTCTTAGGGTGTACTCACACTAGGCATGGTTGCCTTGAACCGAGCCCGAGCGCGATTATCCCCCCTCCCCACTCCCCTGCTGGCCTGCACTCACACTTGCACTGAACTTTCCGGGCCGGAGCACGCTTACGTCATGTACGAGATAAAGGAGAAAACCACTTTCGCTAATATTCTGTCGAATAATTAATAATAATTAATTTATAATTTATGTTGTGCATTGATTTTCACTTGCATGTATCAGAGAATTATTACGGAGGCAGCTGACGTTAATTAAATAATTTGCAGCTTTACTCGCAAACTACATTTCCTGTTCATCAATAAGGTGAGAACCAGAGCCATTATAAACCTAAATATACTTGATTGAATTAAATTAATTGAAAAGTGTAGTGTAGTAGTAATAGAATATGTTTGCGGTCGTAATGATGACAGTAGCGCAGTATCTGTTCCGTGCTCTGGCGTGGTTAGCGCTCACACTGCATATTTTCCACAGTGCCCGAGCCCAATCGAACCGTGCCCCTGGCCCACCTCTTCCAAATGGGCCAGGGACGGCTAAACGAACCGTGACCTTCGCCCTGTTATTTGGATTACTCTTTTGTCTTGCCTTGGATGTAGCTGTTTGCTGGTGTTTACCCCGTCTGTTTCGACTACACTCTTTAATAAAGCTTGCATTTGGATCCCCTACTCAGTTGTCACACCATCCATAACAAATAAACTATTAAATATATAATAGTATAAATGGCCTAAAATGCTGCCAGCTCTCTTGGATTTGGACCACAGCCATTACGTCAGTGTGAAACAGACCTTTTTAGCAGCTCTAGTCGTATTGTGGAGCACAGGGAACAGATGTGAGTGCATAATCACATGGCATATGGTCCCTACTCCACCAGGAGCATCTGGAGGCGTGATATCAAACTTCTCGAGTGACGTGCCGGAGCATTTTTCTCTCAGTCAGAGCTCGGGGTGATTCATGTTCGCTTAATGCTTCACAGACAGACTGGAAGGTCGTGTCTTTTTCACTTCGAAAAATAAAAATAAACTCTTTTGTTAATCCTGCTCACTTTTCTACCTAATATGCCTTCCAGATGGTGGTACAGTTTAATCATCATCAATTCTGATGCTCCGTGCAGTCTGCCAGTGATGGGGAATTGTCCTGTGCTGCCCTGTGGGGATCTGTTCTTTAAGCTTTATGCATTGAGATGCCAAGCATGTGTCCGTGTCGAACAGACAGTCCCAGTAGTTTTCTGTGCTAGGTTGTTATGGTTAGAGAACAACCCTGCAAGCTCCAATTGACAGAACAGCTTGATAACTTGAGAACTTGATTAGTATGATGGAATATCTAAAAGAATAAACAATAAATTAATTAATTAATAAAAAATATAACAATAATAAATAATATTTTTAATCTTGTTGAAAATACAAAAAATGTATTTTTTCTGTAAATAAATATAAATGTATGTAAAATATATATATATATTTTTCTGTATATATATATATATATATAGAGAGAGAGAGAGAGAGAGAGACAAAATATATAATTATTTTCATAAATTTGTGTATTTCCAACAAAGATGAAATATTTATATAATGCATAACTGGGGCTATATATTGTAAGGGGAAAAACCCTCTCTAATGCATTTTCATCTGTAAATAAATAATTAGAGAGAAAGAAACAGAGGAAGAGAATATATTTTCATAAGCTTTTGTAATTTTTTATTATGTTTTTTCTATTTTCTCTCTCTCTATATATATATATAGAGAGAGAGAAAATATATATTTTCATTTTATTTATTTTTTTCAACAAAGATAAAATATTTATTCATTTATTTATCTTTTTTTATTAGGCTGTAAGATATCGCACACACACACCTTTTTTAATAATTAACAAAAAACTGCCAGACAAATATGAAACTAGGGCTAGATATTGTAAGAAGAAAAAACCTCTCTAATGCCTTTTCATCTGTAAATAAATAAATAATTAGATAGATAGAGAGAGAGAGAGAGAGAGAGAGAGAATGTTTTCATTTTTTTGGAATTTTCAGTGAAGAATAAAAAATATATTATAATACATTTGAAATGTGCAATCACAATGATATAACTGCATATTTATAATACAAATTCATATTTTAACAAGGAATATATTGAAGTGGGACTATATATAGTATGGTGGGAAAAACCCTCTCTAATGCCTTTTTACTGTAATGCTTCTTTATTTAGCTAATGTGACCTGAAAGACTCAAAATAGAGCTACTTAATTTCCACTTTCAAATTAAAAAGCAAGTCAGAGTGGTTTGTCTGTTGAGAGAGAAAATTAAGTACAGGATGACTCAATGGAGAAAGGTCAAAGATTCAATCTCGATAGTACAGACTACAGCATTCTAAAAGAGGAAAGAAATTGCTTTAAGGATGTCAATCAGAGCGAGCTAGGTTTGAACAAGCTATCTGAGAGCAAATTGTCAAAGTGTCAGCAACACCTGGTCCTGAGATGTATCTGACAATTCAATCTCAAATGTTGGTGAGTTCTTGGACCGTAGAAATAATCATGTTTTCTGCTCAGCTCAAAGAGAGCGCATGTCCGCTGACCTTAAAGGCACATCAGCATATGCTGCATTACAGCGGTGTTTTGTCACCTTCAGATGGAGCACATCAAAGCACATCCTTTCAACTCGGCTGAAGCTCTGATGAATTTTACAGCAAGCATCCAGAGCAAAAAAAAAAAAAAGGGGGAAAATGACTTCTTACATAAACAGCTTGATAGTATGTTTTGGAAATCAAGCAACAAGATCATTCTTATTTGTCAGACAAGCTACATTATGACATTCAGAACGGAAGAGCACAGCCATCTTCTGTCTGCTTCCTAGTGGCACTGTGGTTGCCGTTGGTAGCTGATTTGTCATAGTTTCCCCCTTTTGCTTGCACTGCTATTTGGCCTAACCGTGATAAATAGCATGGCTCATTCACAGGCTTTGCACTTTGCCTGCTCATGTTGGTCTGACCAGGTGAATGCCAATCTTGACACAAGCTAAGGGTCAAACTGGAACAATTGCATGAACTAAACACTTGCTATGTGCATCATCTGATCTGATTTCTACAGTAATACTACCTCTGCTGGCCATGGCCATCTTCTTAAAGGGGTCATATAATGCTACATGCACTTTTACAAGTTGTTTGAACTGAAATGTGTGTTGGCAGTGTATGTACACAACCACCCTAAAATGATAAAAATCCACCCAGTGGTTTTTTGTTAATCTACTAAAATCTTTACCCCTTTCTCAAATCGAGCCGATCTCAGATGCCTGTCTGTGTGACGTCACATAGACAGGCCCCTCCCACGATAGTTTGATTGACAGAGTAGCGTTTCAGCACAGACTGGACTGGCGTCTTACTTTACACTACCATTGAGAAATTTTAACCAAACTATGTTACAGACTTTTCATTAAGACCCTAAAGTATCATATCAACTTGTGGATTTCAATTTCAATTTTAATGGTTTATTCAAGCCAAATCTGTAGTCCAGGCAGCCAAATATGGTATAAAAATGATTAAAATCTATTTCCTGTGGTCTGAATTTGGATTTCAAGTTGTTTTTCGTCATTCATGAAGCGACTTGCATGTAACATCATGCAAAAGTATTAAAAATCAGACTGAAAACAAACTGCACATCTTTTTCATTTTCCAGTCCACAGCAAACGAGATGCCACCGGGAGAATAAGACAAGGTAATCTTTAAGGAGAAGTAAACAAGACATCTATAAACGTGTCCCACTATGGCTTTATTAGTACCTGTGAAATACGGGCTTGCAGAGGCACAAAGCAGAAAGCCATTAAACTGCTCAGGAAGGCCACGAGAGCTCGGCAAAGCCCAAATACATAAACTGACACGTGGATAGGACAGCCTACGTCTCTCTTTCTCTCTCATTCCGAGCTATAAAAGTTGACTTTTGGAGGCATAATTGATCAGACTTTCTGTGCCTATATATATATACACAGTATATAATAGTGCTTTAATAAAATGGAATTTCCTCCAGTACTCGATCTTCCTTAGTTAAAAACAAGAGTGCAAACTCCATGATCTCTGAATCTTAAAGGGATAGGTTCAGCCAATAATTACAATAATTTCATAATTTACTCATTCTTACATAGTTCCAAACCCATATGACTTTCTTTCTTCTTTAAAATACAAAAGAAGATATTTTTATGAATGTTCATGCTGCTCTTTTCCATGCGTAAAAGTTGACTTTCTCAGACATCCTGCTGGCCCTGAGCCAAGTGGAGGCATAATTGATCAGACTTTCTGTGCCTATATATATATACACAGTATATAATAGTGCTTTAATAAAATGGGATTTCCTCCAGTACTCGATCTTCCTTAGTTAAAAACAAGAGTGCAAACTCCATGATCTCTGAATCTTAAAGGGATAGGTTCAGCCAATAATTACAATAATTTCATAATTTACTCATTCTTACATAGTTCCAAACCCATATGACTTTCTTTCTTCTTTAAAATACAAAAGAAGATATTTTTATGAATGTTCATGCTGCTCTTTTCCATGCAATAACTATGAATGGAGGTGACAAGCTTCAAAGAGGATTCGAAAACACCATAAAGAGACTCGTGCACTGTATTTTAAGTTTTCTGAAGACATTTCAATATTTTGTGAAGAACAGACCAATAAGTAATTGTGCACATAGCAATGTCTAATTTGTCATTCATCGATGGATCATTCATCCATCCATCTGTTGATTCATTCTTCAATCATTCATTTGATACATTTTTCCAGTTTTATGAATCTTTTTAATGAAAATTTTGTTTCATTATCCAGTTCACTATACCACCCTGACTCATTTGTTCATAAATTGGATTGATCTGATTCTTGAGGTCAATTCACTGACTCAATTTTGAGTGAAAAGCTCACTTGAAAAGGTGGTGTCACTGAATAACATCTTGAATTTCCTCACACAAAGCTATTATACAGTTTCTATGTAATACAGAGTTATATAGACCATTTATTATACTTTAATGGCACTCTTGCAGCTTTTTGAATCTTTAAAGCTCCACTCACCATTCACTGTAACTGCATGTTAAAAGAGCCATCAATCTATTCTTCATAATTTCTCTTTTCATCTTGCATAGAAGAAATAAACACCATTTTGGAACAACAAGGTGAGTAAATCAAAACTAATTTTCTTTTTCAGTTGAGCTATTATGTTTATTGATATCATGGAGTTTTTTAGAAGATGCAGTGGAATGGGAACCAACGGTTGAGGGAATTTTTTTAATGATCTGAAAAGCAGTTACAGCAGTACGTTAGCACGGGCACAATAGTTCGCCTGGTTCATTAAGGAAGTTCAGACAGCTGTAAAACCCACAAAGAAGCTTTACTGGGAAGCGTTTGCTATTATCTTTGGACTGTGCATATCTACATAGCCAATCCTTGGAGAATTTGCCCCATCAAATTAGTAACAAATGCGAGGACTTGTACACGACCAGCAAGATAATAACTACTTTCATTTAGAAAGTGTGGAGGATGACGGGCAAAATTGCTTTGGTGGTAAACAACTCCTCAGCTTCAGAGAGAAGCAATTACTGCTGGGTTGTTGCATGGGGGTCCACCAATGTGCTTCACGAAGATGCTTACTGGCTAATAACAGAAAGTTCGTATCATATTGCTGTAATGGGGAAAACAGTCAATGTCACAAAACCGAGCTGGGATGAGGTGATGAATCATTCTGGCTTGACAATGCGGGCGGGCATTGATGAAGCAGCTGGCAAAGGCTTCGAGCGTTTGGAGCGTGGGGTTTACGAAGCGAGCTCTGCAGAGCCCCTGACTGCAGCCGGAAAACAGACTGAATTCACAGGCAGATCCGTCTATAACTACCTTTCCAAAGAGTCAGGTGATAGTAAACGAATGACACAATAGGAGATTAGACACAGTATCTCTGGAGGAAGAAGGGGAATGATGATGGTTGGTAAGTGTTGTAGAGGACAGAGGAGATTAAAATGCTAAAAGTCAAAAGGGTCCAGTGTAAAACCGATATGTAAAACCGATCTGTGGTTGAAAAGCATGATCCCAAGTTCAATGCCTTAAATCCCCAAAATACATCTTTCTCCAAAAACCCAGACACTGGCTGCATCTGAATGCCAAAAAAAGAAGAAGCTTCAAATGCAGTTTTGTCACATAGACTGTGCCTTCTCAGGCAGTTTACAAAGGTAGAAACCAGTGTTGTTATCATTAATTAAAACTACAACTATTAATAAAAACATCTTTGTTAATTAAAATAATGCTGAAATAAAATATAAATATTCGATGGAAAACTACAAACAAAAATTTTGAAATGTTGCCTTAACTGCAATAGGTTTAAGATGAAGTACTAAAATTACTAACTGAAATAAAAATATTTAATTATTTTACATAAAATATAAAATACATTTGAAATGAAAACTCAAAATATAAAAGCTAATTTGAAATATCAATAAAAATTATAATAGTACACAAATAACACTGATAGGAAGACATTGGAAGCCTATAATATCCTATGTGTGCTCAGCAAATGGTTGAAAAAATGCAAATGGAATTTGATAGAGTGATTGAAAGAAGTGATTATAGCAATTTTCTCTTATTTCCTTTTCTATGAATACTTGTAGTCACATTTTTATTTTCTGGTTATCCCTAAAGCTCACTGGAATTCATTATAGATCATTAGATGTGACGTTGCGGTGCCCTGGGAGACCTTCATATACAAAAACACATCACACAAAGCAATACACTAAAACTGCCTTCAGTTCTGGATGCAGCCACTGTGACCTACAGTCTGTGCCGAGCAATTAAATCTACAATTGCAATAAATGAGAGATAATATATAATTAGGCGCTTCTTTTCATGCAGAACTTCAAAAATGTAATAAGCAAAAACCCTTTAAGTAAGAATATTTTTCCAGCACCCTAATAAGCAACAGCTACATTATTTCCCCAGTAACCCAGTAATAAGTCACCCAGATGTGTCTCTTTAACGTCTATGGAACTGAAACAAAGGTTAAATGTCACATATTTATATCTCGGTGATATAAGGAGTGAAAGAGGACCCAATTGTGAAGACGTATTTCTAAATTTGTGTCCTGGATATTGCACAGAAAAATGCTGAAGGGGCAATTAAAGGAAAAAGTGGAAAATTATAAGGTAATTTAACAAGTCTCTCACTGTATACTTTCTGACATTTAAATTCATACTTTTGGCAGATCCTTGTATCCAAAGCAAATTCATTAAAGGTTTTTGCTTGCCTTAACATGCACCATTAAATACAATTTACACCTAGACTGAAGCTCAAGGAGCTCAAGCAATTATTAATATGCATAAGACTACTGAGAGAAGAATACGTACAGCTGATGGTGATGCCCAGCTCCACACCTGGCTTCTTTGGTAGCTTCACATGGAAGGTTCCACTGCTTGGGATAACTGATTCTGGATGAGACAAGGACAGAAATACAAAAAGGTAAATTTTTAGATGCAAGTCCATATCATCATTGTGGAGTTTTGATAATTCTGAACTTATAGACCATTGAGATTAAGGCAAATGACCAAACTGACACTTATTAAAGGGTTAGTTCACATCTAAATGATAGTTCTGTCATCATTTATTTACCCACATGCTGTTCCAAACCTCTATGATGATCTTTTTTTCGTGGAACACAAAATGAAATGTTTAGTAGAATGTCCAAGCAGTTTTTTTTCCCATACAATGAACATGTGAGGACCATAGTGGTTTTCATGACATGGAAAAGAGTAGCTTTTACCTGCTTTGTTTTCACATGCAAGAAAGAAAGCAGAGTAAATGGCAGCAGAACATTCATTTTTTGGGTGAACCCTCTCTTTAAAGTGACTTGGAGAGACAGCTGTTAAAAATTCAGCCTTTCTTTCAGGCAGAGATGTAGACAATCTTTCTGACAGAAGTCCAGAAAGTTCAGTCTGGGATAGAGGGGAGGAAAAGAAAATCTCCATAAAATATGTCCTTCTCCTCTGGGCAGTGAGTCAGAACCAAAAAGAATGACAGAAGTGTCAAGAGTGCTCAAAGAAAGAAAATGCACTTCTCTCCAGTGACCCGCCATTTCACATAACGACCTCTGCTCTTGAAATGATCATGCAGTAATTCAAGCCAACTCATTTCATCCAAATCAACAAAAGTGTCTTTTAAAACAAGCACTTGGTCTGAGCGATAAAGAATATTGCACAAGCAAAAACATGGTAAAGCTGTTCTCCTTCCAGCGCTTCCTTTGTGATAAAACATTTTATTGGATTGCACAGAAAATTGACATTCAGTTTTCAAACTGACGCAGAATGGAAATAAGTGGGTTTTGCAATAATGGTACATTCATGTCATGCCAAAAATATGACAAATATAAGTTCCCAAATTTAATTAACAAGAATTAACAAGTGTGTTAGGGTTTACATAATTAACATCACTGTTCAAAAATTAGAGGTTGGTTAGATTTTTTAAATGTTTTTAAAAGAAATCTCATGCTCAACAACAAAGATTCAGTAATAAACTGTAATATTGTGAAATATTATTACAATTCAAAATAACGTTTTTCTATTCGAATATATTCTAAAATGTAATTATTTCCTGTGATGGCAAAGCTGAATTTTCAGCATCATTACTCCAGTTTTTAATTTCAAATGATTAGGGATGTAACGATTAACCGCGAGCCGGTTGAAAATCGATTTAAATATGTGACGATTCAAATCGGTTGAGATGCTAAACAAATCGCGATTCAGTTAGGTGTAGGAGTTTATATGAATGTATGTCTGAGGGGAACTTACTGTCTTTAGAAATATTATTATAGTGTTATATTTCAATTTCACAAAGAAACGTACAGTATTTTGTCCAAGCAATAATAAAAGGACACATTTAATTTATAATTTGTCTTAAATCTCATTTTGTAAAAAAAAAAAAATCGCAAATCGAGTCGAATCGTGAAATCAAAACCGTGAATCGAATCGAATCGTGAGTTGAGTGAATCGTTACATCCCTACAAATGATCCTTCAGAAATCATTGTAATATGCCGATTTGCTGCTCAAGAATAGATAATGAATAGAAAGTCTAAAAAGAACAGTATTTATGTCAAACAGAATTTTTTTTTTCATTGGTTAATGGACAGGAGGCAATCTGTGTGCTAGTGCCGGAAGGCTGTGACTACCCTTGAAGTCGTCAGAAACACAGTTTAAAAGATTCCTGATAAGCTAAATAAAAGAAACGAATTAAATATCAAACCAAATTAAACAAGACAAAACACTAGGATGACAAGCTAATTACGGCGTGTCTCAAGGACTACAGACGTTCCACGCGGCCCATACTGTGATTACGCTGCCAAAGCACAGCACGAGATGGAAAAATTAGAGAATGTGTGTTGGATTTTCAGATGAAAGTATATAAACTGTATTTTCATGCGGATGTCCATCCGGAAATAGTACCTATTAAATCACGGGCCACGTGTCTTGCAGTACTAATCATTTCTATGCATCAAACACATTCCAGATGGTTGGGCTCTCAGAATTATGGCATAACTTTTAAAAAGAAAAAAAAAAAACTCTAGGACAAACGCGGGATGCGGCCAGATGGATCTTTCATCCCCAAACAGGTTTGGAATTGATGAATCGGTACGTGTCCCCACCTGCTACGTCAAACTCAATCTCTAGTGTGACTTTGCTGGTGATGCTGGAGTCCCTCAGCAGCTGATTGGTCTCCTCCAGCGTGCTGTCCTCAGTGGGGATGCCGTTTATTGACAGGATGCGGTCACCAATCTGCAGGATGCCGCACCTGTGCACAGAGAGCAGATTTAGCACACCATTCCTCTTACACTGGCCAACAGACTAGCTGTGCTGAATGCATAAAATAAAAATAATGGACTGGCGTAGAGGGAGACAAAAAGAGGTGGTGGGACCCAGGAAATATCTCGCACTGACCAGCCAACCACTTATATTATGCCACCTGGCGCCATTAAATAGACATTAGTGAGTGGATGTGACACTTTAGCCAAAAATACAAATGTCCTCTTAGCTCAAGGTCAGAGTAAAAGCACTTTTTAATAGCTGAGGGAACAAAAACTCTTTATTGAATTCCAAAATGGCTTTTGAGCCAAACAGAAGCAATATTGCTTTTGCTTTCACTGCTAAAAACACCAGCAAAGCTGGTCACCATAAGGCATATGCTGTGTTTTTGATGCTGGTATGCAGCGTGGGCTGCTAGCATCACCATCAACAAAAGTGTAAAGCATTAAAATGTGTCATATTGTGATTAGCTTCAAGAACCAATGGCATTTGGTGATTTTAGAGCTACGCTGTAGGAAAAGATTTACTTTTAGGTACTTTTTTTTTTTCTTTTTCGAGCTCGACAGCCCCAGTTACAGTATAGAAACAGCAGTTTGTGTGTGTGTATGTGTATATATATATATATATATATATATATATAAACCAAAACACCATACTATATCTCATATAACTGACCTATCCACTAGTAAAACTAATATATAGTATAATACTATATATAGTAAAATATAAAGTATAGTATAATTTATTATTTTGTAAATTACTTTAACAAACCATAATTTATTATATTATATTGTTCTATTCTATTCTATTTTACTCTGATACTATAACATTTTTTGTATATTGCTGCAAAAATAATGTAAAACACCACACAGGTGTCTCCACAAAAGCTCTAATGAATCTGTGAAATGTTTTTGTGAAGCATTAAAAATGCTTTGTGAAGCATCTTTGTGCATAAATCACAAATTGATTCAATAAAACAGATTGCACAGTTTGCTGTAAAGTAAATAAACAGCAACAGCAAAAGCTACATTATTTTAAAAAGCTAAATTGTCTTCCCACTACTGAAAAATGTAGTTAAGTTGGCAGCATCTCATCGCTTGTTCCCCAACTCCGCTAGGTCTTTATCAAATCACCAGCATTAGCAGGTTTATGTCCATCACTGCAATTACAACTTCAGCTGGCAGCGAGTCATCCCTGTTGCTTAGGTCAGTAATTACAGTGAAGTTGGGATGTAAATCCACATCATTCGACAAGTAAGTTCATATGGATGCCAGATGAGGCTCTGCTGCTCAGGTAATTATAGTTAAGTGCTTTGCTCTATTACGTAACGCCGTAGTCAATCACAGCCCAAGCAGGCTGGAAATCAGATCGTCACGGCCAGGCAGTTATATATCATGTGCGATCATCGCATTATATCATGGATGACGTTGTGGCTCTGCGGAGGACAAGTTCTAAGCGGCGAGAACGGTGCAGTAATGTAATAACTGTGGGCTTTGGGATGTGTTCAGATAATCAAAATTAGATTCAAGATTAAATATTCAAGATTCCCAAAGGGAAGTTCACACTTCTCTGATAACGCAAACAATTAAGCCGCGCCGAGTGCTCCGATCTGAGGAGGGATATCTAGAATATTAAAACCCAGAGTTTTAACTAGGTCAAATGAGGCACTGGAGATTAATAAAAATCATGTTCGGAGATCTTACCGCTCCGCCGGGCTGTCAGGGTCTATGTAAGCGATGAGCGGCGGAGAGGACAGGGTTTCCGTGGCAAAGACTCCTCCCTGAAGCTGGATCCCAAAGCCCATGATGGAGTCGCTGATGAGGGTCACCTCTGTTGTTTCTGTGTGGACCACCTGACCTGCAAGTCCTACCGTACTGGAAGCCAGAGACACTAGAGGAATGAAAAACAGAGGACAACAGGGTCACAAACAGCAGAAAGTTGATTTCTGGGGCCCGAAGGGACCCTCCCTGTTCATTTGTACTATATAGAAAAGAGCAGCTTGAACATTCTACTAAACTTCTCCTTTGGCCATCAGCATAAGGACAATAAAAAAAGTCACACAGGTTTGATAAATCAACCAAATTTTTAGTGAACAATCCTTTTAAATGCATCAAACAGCTCTTCTGTATGCATCTCAGAGCAACCTTTCCCAGAATAAAAGGCTGTCAGCCATGTGAGTCTTTTCAGTGACTGAGCTGGATTTGTGCCCTCGCTGCAGATAAGAATTCAATATGCGCACTAGTATGTTTTGGGCCAACTAGGTGCGCTTAGAAATAAGAAAAGACACTTTGATATAGAGCTAGTGTATTATATCGCAAATCAGACCACAGGGATTTGGGAAAACTCTTTCAGCAGATGGTACAAATTATGAGGTTGTTCGAACTTCCTTATCTTACGAGTCTGGATCTGAAATGACTATAGTATACAGTACTTAAAATAGTGTTGTCAATATATATATATATATAAAATGTGATAGCAATTTTAATACCACTGCAAAAAAAAATAAAAAATTTACAAATGAAATTGTTTGCACAAGTATTGTTTCTGACTGCTACCTCTCATATTTTTACATTTTTATTTTTTAAATTTCATTTATTTTAAGTTTTAGTAACTTTATGTTAGGCCATGTTTTATTAGTTGGTTTATATATATTTCTATTTTCAGTTATAGTCTTAGTAATTTTAGTGTCAACAAACTTACAGCGGGTAAAATAAGTATTGAACGCGTCACCATTTTTCTCAGTAAATATATTTCTAAAGGTGCTGTTGACTTGAAATTTTCACCAGATGTCGGTAACAACCCAAGTAATCCATACATACAAAGAAAACAAAACAAATAAGTTCAGAAATTAAGTTCTGTGTAATGTCGGTGTATTCCAGCTGTATTTTATTTCTAATTATCATTTAAGTTTTCTTTATAATTTTTTCCTTATCTTTATATTTTATTTTATTTCAGTGTTATTTCAATTAACAAAAAATGACTTTTACTAGTTTTATTTAACACTGCTATCACTAAACTGATAATTATTTTTATGTTACAGCAGGTAACCAATAAATAGCCAAAATTAAAATTCTATTTTATTTTGTAAATTAAATTGAGTAAATTAAAAATAAAATCAAATAAAAAAATAAAGACAATTATAAAAAATAAACAGACACACAGACACCATTATAATGTGCATTATGAAAAATGGATCTTAATTCTGACATTTGCTAGTGTTTTTAAAAGTGAACTTTCAAATACTATATCTAAATAAATATCTTATCTATATCTATTAGAAATCCAAACAAGCCTGTGAAAACAGATAAACCCTAGCCAAAATTGTCTATTTTATTCTGTAAATTAAATTGAGTAAATTAAAAATAAAATCAAATAAAAAAATAAAGACAATTATAAAAAATAAACAGACACACAGACACCATTATAATATGCATTATGAAAAATGGATCTTATTTCTGACATTTGCTAGTGTTTTTAAAAGTGAACTTTCAAATACTATATCTAAATAAATATCTTATCTATATCTATTAGAAATCCAAACAAGCCTGTGAAAACAGATAAACCCTGTTGTTTTCACCGCACTGATTGAGAGCGTTTAAACCAGCTTACCGAAAAGCAGACAGGCACACGAGCATAACCAATGTGATTTATACACCGTGCTGCACCCCATTTACAATTGTCTATATCAATAAAGTCTCATGGGATACATCTCAATTGCAAAGCCGCACATTGTTACTGGGCGGCAAAAAGAGCCAATTTTGCCCAAGCTTACTGACATGTTTGTTCGCACTGTGTGCTTTCAAAGAGGCCAGTGAAAATGCGCTCTGACACACGAACACCCGTCACACCCTTGACTGACCAAGCTTAAACTGTCATCCCAAGCACCAGGGAGCACAGACGGCAGCCAAGAGGTCTCTTTCCCCATAGACACGTATGGAAATCTGCCTCCAGGTTATCGACCAGCACCAAACCAGGCCTGCCGCATTTTTATAGAGCCTGTTATACTCGCTGGATCGCTCTACTGTGACTAGAGAGAGTGAGTCTATCCGAGATTGATGATCCTGCTCACGGGCTAGATTTACTGCACCAGACACCTTTATTGTTTTAAATGCAGTGACCTTTCCTTTTTTATTGGGTGTGAGGGATGGGAAAGGGAGGTTAAGGTGACGCAGATGAGGACAGGACGCCTCTTGGATGCGCAAACGCTTTCAGGGACGGGTCTGCAGTGCACATCGATCAACAACCGTTTGGGACTCCTCTTGTCTGAAGCACTGAAAATGATACTGACTGGTCTTTTCGCGAATGACTCAGGGGCCGCAGACTGTGAATTGACCCGACAGGGCTTTGTGTGCATCGGAGTCTTGCTTCGCGAGGCGATTCGGTTAAGTGGTGTCTTCGGTTTGTGGTAGACTTCAAAGGCTCTGATGGACAAGGAAGCACCTGAGGGGTCATTGTCGACACATCTCAAAGAATCGCCAGCCAGCTGACTCTCTCTAGCTCGTTCGCTTCCTCCTTCCTGCGAGAAATCTTCATTTCTGCTTCCCACAGACCAGTGAGTCAGCAGTAACTCGAAATCCTTAGAATGAGTCAGAAGAGTTTTGAAACATCTTTTCTTCGGCAGAGAACAGATTTGGGCAGTTCTAGTAAAATTGGAAAACGCACCTTTGATCTCAAAGCCCTTGAGTTGCGTCATTGTTTCGGTCGGCAGGATCTGTTCTAAGCTCTCTCTCTCTATATATATATATACATAGACATATACTGCTGTTCAAAAGTCTGGGGTCAGTAAGATATATTTTTTAAAGAAATTAATGTGTTTATTCAGCAAGGAAGCATTAAATTGATTACAAGTGACAGTAGTGAAGACATTTATAAAATAAACTTTCTATTCCTCAAAGTATCACAGTTTCACAAAACCATTAAGCAGCACAACAGTTTCTAACATTGAGCATAATAAGAAATATTTCTTGAGCATCAAATCAGAATATTCGACTGATTTCTGAAGGATCATGTGACACTGAAGACTGGAGTAATGGCTGCTGGAAATTCAGGTTTAACATCACAGAATTAAATAACATTTTAAAAAAAAAGTTTAAAAAAGTAATAATAAAAATTCTTACTAACATAAAACTTTTTATCAGTAATTTATGTATATAGCGTTTGGAATCCTGAAATATATTGACCATTTCAATTAAAGAATACAACATAATATATGAAACTGACAAAAACAAACCAAAATTGTAAGTAACTTATGAAGTATCAAGTAAATAAATATAATTATTTATAAACCTAAGAAAAAATATTTCCATAATAAATGCATATTGGTCATTTTGAACAATTTACGAAAACTTGGGATAGTGACAAAAATGTTTTATTATTATTATTATTATTAATAGTAGTAGTAGTATATTTCCTGAACCAATGACTAACAAATACATACATTTCTGAGGCTCATACAGAAAATTTGAGAAATATACAGAATTATCAAAGAATTAAAATAATTTTATTGAAAAAAAATATATTTTTCAGGTTATTTTGAACCCCTTCTAGGGTTAAAATCATGCTTATGTGACATCTCTGTGTGAATACTTTTCATGCAGAGGTCAAAGAGTTGCATGAGTTGTGTGTGTTGAAACCCTGAGTTACGTAAAAGGAACTTGGGAAGAAGAGTCTCTCAAAATAGTGTATGCCGTAGCCTGACCTGTGTCTTGCAGAAGATACCAGGAACCTTAATATCCTCAACACTGTCCTTTAATATTTAATCCTTTAATCATATTTTCCACTAGCAGAACGTATTAGCACCTCAACTGACAACTGCATGGAAGTCATAAATGAGGACTGTGTAGGCATTAGCCAACAATTAAATTATGCTAATATTCTCCTGGTGAGAAGACACGGTGCTAGTTCGGTCACAGTACATTAAACGCAGAGCGGTTTGTTCTGGACCACAGAAACGCAGAGGGGAACTTTAAAATTAGCATGACACCACCTCCAACAGAGATAAACAAGATTTAGGAAAGGCATCAGTGAAAGCTTTTTAGAATATCCTCAGCAGGAGAAGAGGAGACAACAGACTGAATGTGTCTGTTTATGGGGCGTGTGGACAAGACAGATAGTTTCCCCTCACATTCACCGCTTCATTGACTCTGTGTTTGATCTTGCAGTAGACATTTTCCACAAATGGGGAATACAATTTTCTTCAAAAAAACATTTTTCAACAAACAGTCAGTGATAGGAGGTGCTTAACCTTGAAAAAATATTGACTGTGAACCTCAGGAGGTCAAACTAATTATTATATTTTCAGTTTTTCCCTGGTTTTTGTACATTTCTAGCAATAAAAAAAGAACCAGGAGAGAACAAAATACATGATATATCCATTTTACATGGGGAAAAAACCCAAGTGGGTAAAATGGACATTTATATTATTAAAATGATTAATTATTAAATATTAGATTTATTTACATTTATATTAAAAAAGTCAAAATAGTTTTTAAATCCGGATTTTTTTTAATCAATAGAAAATTAAACAGGATTGAACTAAATGGGCAAAATTAATAATAAAAATGAATACTATTAAAATTAATAATTATAATAATATTATTCAATATTAGATGATCTAGTAATTTTATATTTATTTACATTTTAATTAAAAATGTCAAAATAGTTTTAAACCCTGATTTTTTTTTTAAGCAATAGAAAATTAACCGGGATGGAACTAAATGGACAAAATGAATAATCAAAATTAAACTGACTATTAAAAATGTCATTATTATTAGTATGTAAGTGAGTGAGTAAATAAATAAAATATATGTATAATATATAGTAATTAATAAATATATATAAAATATTACATTAAAAATTATGTTAACTGAAAATTATATTAAAATACAATA